TGTGCCCAACTTTCACTAAAGTATTATTATCCCTCAATATTTGTGAATGTGAGTGTGTGAGAGCAAGCTTGTTTTACTATAGTTAAAAAGAATTAGAAATCCTTACCGACCTATTACAAATGTCCCAGATTCCTGTGAGTCCATACAGATTTTTTTTCCACCTAAATCTTTTCTGGGGCAAAATGATGGTTTTAATACCAGTTTAATTATTCCTCCACACACTTGACCACCTTTTCATACTAAGCACACAAATTCAATACCACTTGGCATGCATCCGTTAGCTCTTAATACACTTGAATTTTCTTTTGAACTGGAGAAGCTAATGGCATTTCCCTTGGCTCAGCCTTTCTAACCCTTTGTGGGTCATACAAGAATTTTCATCATGGTCTGTTTCCAAGCACAAACCAAAATTTAGGTTTTTCATTTAAACGCTCCAGATATATTAGGGAGGAGCATTTCTCTTATAGCAGTGGTTCTCAACCTGTGGGTTCCCAGGTGTTTTGGCTTACAACTCCCAGAAATCCCAGCCAGTTTACCAACTGTTAGGATTTTTGTGAGCTGAAGACCAAAACATCTGGGGACTCACAGGTTGAAAACCACTGCCTTACATAAATCTACCAATTTGTTAAGATTACTTCAGATGTCCTTCTCCACTATCCTCTCCCACCAAAGGAAGAAAGCAAAAACAGGAACCTTTTAGGGATTCTGATACTCCTTACAACAATGGTGCCTTCCTAATGCCACTACCCCTTAATACAGTTCCTCATGTTGTGGTGACCCCCAACCATAAAATTATTTTTTTTTGCTACTTCATAACTGTAATTTTGCTACTGTTATGAATCATAATGTCAGTATCTGATATGCAGAATGTATTTTCCTTCACTGGACCAAATTTGGCACAAAAACCTGATACACCCAAATTTGAATACTGGTGGGGTTTGCGGTGGGAATTGATTTTGTCATTTGGAAGTTGTAGTTGCTGGGATTTATACCACACTTAAAATCAAAGAGCATTCTGAACTCTACCAAGGATGGAATTGAACCAAACTTGGCACACAGAACTCCCATGACCAACAGAAAATACTGGAAGGGTTTGGTGGGCATTGACCTTCAGCTTTGGAGTTGTAGTTCACCTACATCCAGAGAGAGCTGTGTACTCAAACAATGATGAAGCTGGACCAAACCTCGCATGAATACTCAATATAGTCAAATGTGAACTCTGGTGGAGTTTGGGAAAAACAGACCTTGACATTGGGGAGTTGTAGTTGCTGGGATTTATAGTTCACCCACGATCAAAGAGCATTCTGAACTCCATCAACAATAGAATTAGGCCAAACTTCCCACACAGAACCCCCATGACCAACAGAAAATACTGTGTTTTCTGATGATCTTTGGTGACCCCTCTGATACCCCCTCACAACCCCCTCTTCAGTAGTCCTGACTCCCTGGTTGAGAAACGCTGCTCTAATACATTCAATCTTTGCAATTATATTGTAATCAAAGCACAGCTGCAAAGTGTAAGCCTGGCAGCTTTCCAAAACATCCAAGTCTAGTGCTTGAAAATCACAATGTAAACATTACATTAGAAATAATTGTGATAGCACAGTTATCACAAAGACAAAGATAGAAGTGATTTCAATTCTCTCATTCTATGTGACCAATTGGAGTTGTGTTTAAGGGTTGCTTTAATAGAATCATAGAATCACAGAACTGAAAGAAACCCCAAGGGTCATTCAGTCCAAACTCCTGCCATGCAGGAACATACACTCAACACACTCCTGAAAGATGGCCATCCAGTTTCTGTTTTAAAACCTCCAGAGAAGCAGACTCCACCACATTCCTGTTCCCTGAAGTGTGGTAGAGTCTCCTTTTCTGGAAATTGTTTTGTGTTTCTGATGGATGGATGGATGGATGGATGGATGGAGGAGGTGGGGTACTACAAATGAGCCACTCCTCATTTCACATACAGGCAGTCACCAAGTGATAAACCAGATAGGTTCTGTAGGTTTGCTTAAGTGTAACTCCAGCTTTGGAAAGCATAAGAAAGGGTTAACACCCCTGTGGTGTTTGTTTTGCTGTCTGTGCCCCTGTTTGGAACATTTCACCTCACTTTCAGTCCCTGTGAGAATTGGATTTTGAAAAATTTGTCATCTTGTGGAAACAAGGATTGGTGATAAAGCTTCAATTAAGACACCTTTTCCCCATGATAACTCTTTCAGGAATGAATTTCCCTTCTGGGGGGTAGATTTCTCTCACTTCCTGTTGTCTCACCCCCCTGTTCTTTGTTATGAGTAAATTGTAAGTCAGGTGTTTGTAACTTGGGGACTATCAGTACAACAGACCTGACCATGTCCTTTCGTGAAGGACCTTCCCAAAAGATGCCTATGCTGGAGGAGGCATACACACAAACCCATTACTGAATGATCCTCTTCTGCTACTTCTGAATGTGTAGAACAAGGGTCCCCAACTAAGGCCCGGGGCCTGGATATGGCCCTCCAAGGTCATTTACCCAGCCCTCGCTCAGGGTCAACCTATGTCTGAAACAACTTGAAAGCACACAACAACAACAACAACAACAACAACAACAACAACAACCCTATCTCATCAGCCAAAAAAGCAGGCCCACACTTCTCATTGAAATACTAATAAGTTTATATTTGTTAAAATTGTTCTTAATTTTAATTATTGTATTGTTTTTAAGTGGGGTTTTTTTGCACTACAAATAAGATATGTGCAGTGTGCATAGGAATTCATTCATGGTTGTTTTGTTTTTTTTCAAATTATAATCCGGCCCTCCAACAGTTTGAAATACTGTGACCTGGTCCTCTGTTTAAAAAGTTTGAGGACCCCTGATGTAGAGGAACTGGTCAGGATGTGGTCATCTAAACAAGGAGGTTCATGCATAAATACACTCCAAGAAAACCTTGAAAACAACAGCTCCCGCCCATTGGAGAAAAGATGCAATTCCACCTATACACTGGCCAGCACACATTTTGGAGCCGCAAATGTTATTCTTGTGTCTTAATATATTTGACCTGCTGATTTAAAAAATGGCACCAGTTTTCCCTTATCAACTTTAGTTTTTGAGATACATAACATATGCCATCTACCAGCTGCCAGCTGCTCACCTTTAGAAAACTATGATAACCGTATCTAAGAAACTAGAGCTGATGTGGCCTATCCAATGCCATTTTTCATCAGCGCCCCAAATAACCTCAGGAAGAGGCCAAAATACCAAGACATGAAGAACAAAATTTCCACCCTTGGGCTGTGTAATCAAGCAGCACTGCAAATACTTAGTGGGGAGTGGGATCCCCCCTTTTGTGAAGCATCAAGGGCCATAGAGTGCTTCGTTTGGTTCTGCTTCATGGGAAAGAAAGAAGGGGGAGAGGCCCTCCTGGCTCAGCCATAAATCCCACTGGGTGATCTTAGAGAAGTCACACTCTCTCAGCCTCAGAGGAAGCCAACAGCAAACCTGTATTGAATAAATCTTGCCAGGGGAATCTGTGGTAGGGTCACCTTAGGGTCAGCATAGGTTGAAAATGACTTGAAGTCATACAACAACAATAGCAAACAACAATGTGTGACAGTCTCCAAGAGGCCCTGTTCAAAACTGTCCAGAGGAAATTCAAGCTTCTCTCTCACCTACTTCCTTTCTTTTCAAACAATTCCTATTGATATATTCATTTCCTTCACACAGAGCTCAGAATAGTGACAATCTGAGATTACAATCAGCCAGAGCAAAGGATAAAAGCACCCACATCCTGCAGCTAGCCCTGACTAAAGCAGATCCATCCGATCAGTGGTGTTTTACCTATAAGCCAACTCGTCATTTAGTGATTCACTGACTTAAGTCTATTCTAATAGGGACAAACCAACACAACACATTGTTGTGTCATGACTTGAACTTTGGACAAGGACAGTGAAGAACCACAGTCTGAATCCCAGTCAGTCATGGAAACCCACTGGTCACACTCTCTCAGCCTCTGAGGAGGCAATGGCAACCCCTTCAAAACAAACCGTGTCAAGACTATTCCATGATAGGTTTGCTATTAGGTGGAAATGACTTAAAGGTACACAACATTGATGATAACAGGTACAGCATCAGAATGTAATTTAAACTCATTTCTGTTATATGAACATTGCTTGTACGACATACATTTCCTTCAATATTATTAAACTAGTATTTTTTGCTACCAACTTTAGTTGGGTTGATTCCCCCTCCTGGCTGAAAAAGAGTTGGAAAAGACCAAACCCCTTCTGCCATGAAGACACAAAGCACTCGCAACAGATGACTGTCCAGCCTCTACTTAAAAACCTCCCCATGAGAGTACTACACCTCACTTCTGAGAAGCAGCACCTTCCACTGCTGAATGGCTCTTACTCTGAGGCAGTTCTTTCTATGTTTAAGCGGAATCTCTTTTCCTGTGGTTTAAATCCAGCAGCAACCAAGATACAGCCCAAGGCTTCACAGGTTTCCTTCTCTAAAGGTTTTTAAGCAGAGGTTGGATGTGCCTCTGTCGGGAGTGCTTTCATAGAATCATTGAGTTGGAATCAACCTTGTGGGCATCCAGTCCAACCCCCTGCCAAGAAGCAAGAAAATCGCATTCAAAGCACCCCAGGCAGATGGCCATCCAGCTACCGCTTAAAAGCCTCCAAAGAAGGAGCCTCCACCACACTCCAGGGCAGAGAGTTCCACTACTGAACAGCTCTCACAGTCAGGAAGTTCCTCCTAAAGTTCAGGCGGAATCTCCTTTCCTGTAGTTTGAAGCCATTGTTCTACGTCCTAGTCATGCCGGCCACATGACCTTGGAGGTGTCTACGGATAACGCCGGCTCTTTGGCTTAGAAATGGCCAAAGAGCCAGACACGACTGGACTTGATGTCGGGGGGAAACCTTGACCTTCATCACAAGACTGTATAGATGAGAAGGTACCTTGCGCCCTTTGGCGGACCCTCCCTCCCTCCCTGCCTCCCCCTGCCCGTCCCCTCTCCTCGGACCTTGCCGTATTTCCTGAGCTTCCTCCGGCGCCGCTTGCTCTTCCGCCCGCCTTCCTCTCCCAGGGGCTGGTACTTCTCCGGGAGGCAGGCGAAGGCCACCTTCTTGGCCGACGGGCTCTCCCCCGAGGGGCTCTCCGGAGCCGGCCCCTCCGCCCTCGCCTTCCCTTCCTCCTCCTCCTCYTCCTCGGCTTCTTGCTGCGGCCTCTCTTTCCCTTCTTCCCTCTGGAGGATGGAGACCTGGTCCTCTGCCTGGCCCCGGCTAAGCCGAGGGCAGCTGGCTCTCAGCTTGGCCCCGACCGTCATGGGGACGGAGGCGAGGCGCAAGGCAAGGCGATCTTTGCTCGCTTTCTGTCTCCCCGCAGGAGGTGGACGGGGGCCGGCGGCCAGGCAGAGGCAACAGGTGGAGCCAAAGTGGGCGCGCTGCCATTGGCTGAGCCTGCTTTGCTTTGCTTTGGAAGAGACGGGGAAGAGGCGGCTCCCCTCCCTTCCTCCCCCCCCCCTCCCTCCCTCCAGGGCATTGGCAGGAAAAGTCCAAGGTCCACTTCCCGCTCTGGCTGCCAATGCAACCAAGGCGGCTTCTGGCGCTTCCTCTCCAAGTTTGTGTTGGGAGTGGGCTCAGGTGGGGATCTGAGAAACCTAAATGGCCCAAGCATTGGTTTTCCAAAAGTGCATCTACATGAGGCATGGGAAAACTTGGGCTCTCCAGRTGTTTATTATTATTATTATTATTATTATTATTATTATTATTATTATTATTATTATTTTACTGTCACAAAAACACARTATGTCACAGCAAATGAGATCTGTATGCTGGATTTCGTATTACAAAATCACAAGTCGAACACTTCCCAAGCRTCTAGGACTGTGTGATGTGTTGTTGTTGTTGTTATTACTATTATTATAAACAAGATGAGCAAACACTCGGCTGGCTGTTATAGTGGATCACACGTTGGACACTTCCCAAGTGTCTAGGAATGTGTGATGTATTGGCAAATAATGCGTGCAGATCCCAGTAAGGTGGCCTTTTGCAGCTGGCAGATGGTAATCTTGTCAGTGCCAATTGTGTTTAAGTGCAGGCCAAGGTCTTTAGGCACTGTACCCAGTGTGCCGATCACCACTGGGACCACCTTGACTGGCTTGTGCCAGAGTCTTTGCAGTTCAATCTTTAAATCCTCATATCATGTCAGCTTTTCCAGTTGTTTCTCTTCAATCCTGCTATCATGAATGACTTTTCAATAACTTTAAAGCACAGGTTCTTTTTATTACAATTTCCAGTGTGAGAGGGTATATCAGATTACAGAAAAACATTTAGACAAAGAATGACTTTGGACATACAGACATATAGATTCTATGCAACTACATTGGATTTACAATTGCATTGGTTAACAAACAATCAAAGGGGAGTTACATTTTCACTCAGCATTCACGCACATGTACACACATCCATCCTCAGGCATTCAGATATTACCATATCCTTTTCTCCCTCCTTGGAGAAGCACCTGTTAGGCCAGGCCCTGCTTCCCTGCAGCTTGTCAACACATAGTTCCATAATGCCAAAACTTCAAAACGCCGAAATATCAAAACTTCTTTCCCTAAGAACAATGCCAAGAACCAGATGTCTGTTTTCCATACGGCAGAACCTGACTCGTTGCACAAAACTCCAAAAGCGCACTTCTTCCTCTTCCCTTGAGAAGGAAGGCCAAAGTGACCAGACTGCTCCCATGCAGATCTGCCACTCTCCATAGGTACACTATCTCTCTCCTTCCCATGGAGCAGAGCATGACGGGTGGACCAGACTCCTCAGTCTGCCACACTTTGAGCATTATTAGATTGAGTCTTTTATAGGAATATTCTGCTGGTGTAGTCCCAAAGTTGTAAATTAAGGACAGACTTCTTCCATCCTGGCTCCATCTCAGTTTCCTGGCCAGATGTTGACTCTTCTTGATTGGTGTTGCTCTTATGTTGACTTCCTTCTTAACATTGTAAACATTTCTGCTATCACTGTCCCAATTCTTATCAGAGTTTACTTTTCAGCTCTTATTAGCAACTTTTAATTACAGTCCAGTAAGCAGGTAGTTAGTTATTGCAGGCCTTAATATTTTACTGGTGCTTCCAAAATTATTAGCTCTATACATCCTTCCATTCTTCCATTATGGAGCCCCCGGTGGCGCAGTGGGTTAAAGCACTGTGCTGGCAGGACTGGAGACCGACAGGTTGCAGGTTCAAATCCGGGGAGAGGTGGATGAGCTCCCTCTATTAGCTCCAGCTCCTCATGCGGGAACATGAGAGAAGCCTCCCACAAGGATGATAAAAACATCAAAAATCATCCAGGCGTCCTCTGGGCAACGTCCTTGCAGACAGCCAATTCTCTCACAACAGGAGTGGTTGCTCCTGACACGACCAAAAAATAAAATAAAATTCTTCCATTCATTCCCACACATCATATTAAATCCACATTTATAAAATCTGCACATTAAATTTTTGTGACATAAGGCTGTGGGAGTTGAAGTCCAAAACACCTGAAAAGCCCTTTTGCCCATGCCTGATCTACATTATAGAATGAATGCAGTTTGGCACCACTTGGGACTACCATGGCTCTATACTAGTGTTTCTCAACCTGGGGGTCAGGACCCTTAGTTGCCACGAGGGGGATCAGAGGGGTCACCAAAGACCATCAGAAAACACAGTATTTTCTGTTGGTCCTGGGGGTTCTGTGTGGGAAGTTTGGCCCAATTCTATTGTTGGTGGGGTTCAGAATGCTTTTTGATTGTAGGTGAACTATAAATCCCAGTGACTACAACTCCCAAATGTCAAGGCCCATTTCCCCCCCAAATCCACCAGGGTTCACATTTGGGCATATTGAGTATTTGTGTCAAGTTTGGTCCAGATCCATCATTGCTTGAGTCCACAGTCCTCTCTGGATGTAGGTGAACTACAACTCCAAAACTCAAAGTCAATGCCCACCAAACCCTTCCAGTATTTTCTGTTGGTCATGGGAGTTCTGTGTGCCAAGTTTGGTTCAATTCCATGGTTGATGGAGTTCAGAATGCCCTTTGACCCCCCAAAATATAAAATTATTTTGTTGCTACTTCATAACTATAATTTTGCTACTATTGTAATGTAAATATCTAATATGCAAGATGTATTTTCATTCATGGGACCATATTTGGCACAAATACTCAATATGTCCAAATTTGAATACTGGGGGGATTTGGGGGTGGTGGTGGTGGTTAATTTTGTCATTTGGAAGTTGTAGTTGCTGGGATTTATAGTTGACCTGCAATCAAAGAGCAGGTTGAGAAACGCTGCTCTGGGATTTGTTGAGGACAGAATGAACTGGAGGTCTCTCAGTCATGGGGTCCCTGTGAGTTGAAGTCAACTTGACAGCAGCAACGAACAACTGCTTTGAGAGGAATGGAAAGAGTGAAGCAGGCCCGTAGTCAGGATTTCGATTTGGGAGGGGGGGGGGGCTGAATTTTTTTCAAGGGGGGGGCTTGGGGGGGGCTGAGTTTTTTGGGGGGGGCTGAGTCTGAGTGAAAGAGGGTCTAGCCTAGCAAACCTTTTGTATCATTACCCCAATACCCCCATGCATATGGGATATATTGAGTATGGTGATCAGATCATGATATGAATAAACATAACAGTTTAAATAATGCACCAGTAAGGCCTTTTCGAGAACCACCATGAGAATTTGGGGGGGGGGGGGGGGTGAAGCCCCCCGCCCCCCCCCCCCCCTGGCTACATGCCTGGAGTGAAGCTAGAATCAAGTTTTGACCTACAACCCCATACTAATTACTTCAAACGCAATGCAAATTTTAATAGGCAAGCTTTTTAAAAAGCACCACTGCAACACCCACCATCCCCAATGCATTTTGGAAGGGATCCATGTTGAGGAAAACTGAAATAGACAAGGGCAATTACATTATCATTACAAAAATCCTTATCATTTTCTCCCCCAATTGTATGAGATTTCTCTTTTCGGCTCAATGCGTTGTGAACAGAAATTCATTAAGAAGCTTATCTTATTTCCATTGGTTGTGGCCACTAAAGTAATTCTCCAAGTCATTTCCAATTATCCCATGCCTCACTGTCCAAAGCACTGCATTAGAATGGTTTTTAATTACTGGGATATTAAGAACCATACACATTTTTCCCTAGTGAGAGCTGTCACATAGGATCCCATCTCAGCCCTCCCGTCTAATGCTTTTCCCCTCTGTTCTTTCTTTTTTCAAACATTGACTGTAAAATAAAAAGGGAGGGAGGAAAGGAGGAAGGGGAGGGGAGAGAAGAATGTAGCAATGCTTGGGACTGTTTTTAATGGCATGATGCACTTTCGTGTGTATAAAGCCACTTCTTCAGATGCAGTCCAAAGTGATATCCAGGCCTCGAGATATAAAGTGTATTTACAGTTGTGGGAGTGGGATGGAAAGTAATAGAATCCAGAAAGATGCAAATTGTGATCCTAAATTTTCAAAGAGCCCTGTAAGGCAATACAGGTTTTTCAGAGCCTTATTTATTTATTTATTTATTTACTATATTTCTATACCACCCTTCTCAGCCCAAGGGCGACTCAGGGCAGTATTGGCCTTACCACGGTCAATACCCAAAATCCACAAAACAATGATATCTTTATTGGAGCCCCCCGTTATTGGAGTCCTGTGCTGGCAGGACTGCTGACTGAAAGGTTGGCGGTTCGAATCCGGGGAGCAGGGTGAGCTCCCATCTGTCAGCTCCAGTTTCTCATGCAAGGACCTGAGAGAAGCCTCCCACAGAATGGTAAAACATCTGGGCGTCCCCTGGAAAACAGCCTTGCAGACAGCCAATTCCCTCACACCAGAAGCGACTTGCAGGCTCTCAAATCGCTCCTGACACATAAAAAAAATGGGTGAATTAAAATGCACAAATACATTGTGAAAGCTTTCAAAGGTCTACTGACTTCTTTATGAGGCAAAAATGCTTTTAAAAACCATACAGAACATTACTTTACAGAATGTACAACAGAATTTACAGCTTTGAAGCTGCAAGACCATTCAATGCGAATCAAGGTGGCCAATTGCAACCTTCACACTTGCCTCAAGCACCCTGGACATTCCACAGATATATAAGCCTCACTTGACTAGTTTCCAACAGACCTCACAACCTCTGAGGATGCCTGTCATAGATGTGGGTGAAACGTCAGGAGAGAATGCTTCTAGAACATGGCCATACAGCTCAGAAAACTCACAGTAATTCAGTTACAACAGAAACATCTATCATTTTCTCCCTTCTCCTGTATGATTTTGCCTCATGAAGATATCAGTGGAGCTTCGAAATCTTGCCTGATGTATTTTGTGACTTTTTGGTTAGCCCATTAAAGTCATCACTCTTCTGTGGATTTTGTATGACATTACATTTTGCTGCAA